TTTTTTTTTTTTACAGGAGCAGAGCCACCGGACAATAGGAAACTATTGGGCGGAGCTAGCTGTCACTTCTAGCTCTGCACAATCGTTTTCTATTTACTTTTTTTTACTTTTTTCACTCTTTTTCTGTTTTGCTCGGTCCCTCTGAGGGACCGGGCAGAACAGCCGAGGCGAATGCCGCTCAGCTCACTGCTGTTCGGCATCTTTAAGAATAGTCCGAACAGCAGTGAGAAGCCTGCCGGAGGTTCGGCTCAGCCGATCCAGATGTTGGATCGGCTGAGTCGAACTCCTTCTGCACTTCGGGTCGGCCGAACATGCTGGGCATGTTCGGCCGACCAGAAGACACACGAAGCAAGCTGATGTACAGCTTTTTTTTTTGCCGATGTACGGCTGAAATTAGCCGTACCAGCCTGAAGTGAATAGACGAACAGTGTTCGGCTCACTTCACTTCAGATCGGTCATTCACTCGGCTGCCCTTGGCAGCTTCGTGAATAGACCCATAAATCTTTTATTTCTGTATTTCTTTAAACAAAATAGAACAGTTAGCATTCTCATAGCAGGAACACCAAAGTGTTTTAGAATATGGAGAGTGAAGAAGAGATGATGAGCAACACAGGGGTTAAAGAAGTGAAACACATTGGATGATTTACTACAGGCAAATAGGCTGTTTACTTTGCAAGGCATTTTTTCTTTAGTCTAAGGCTGGGTACACACCTTACAAAAGTCTTGCATTGGTTGTAAGGTAATTAAAAAAAACATACGATCTGCCTATCTTTGGACAAGCAGATCGTACTTGCGATGATCGCAAGCCCGCCCCACTGAGGGGCGGGCTTCCAATGACCGCAATACTAAACGGATAGTGTGCGATTGCGCACACCGGCTCGTGCGGCTTTTATCTTGCGAACATGCCACACACCCGCCGACAATCGTATGATTCTCGGCGGGTTTTTGAACATGTTCATACGATAAAAATCATGCAACCTTACAGTAGGAGAGGTTGCACGCCTTCCACACACCTTGTGATAATCGCACATTGGGATTTCCCGCGATTATCGTCCGATTATCGCAAGGTGTGTGGGCACCTTTATAAGGTATGAATACGTTTTGACTTCCATCATACATGTGCAAGCACATATACTGTTTTATTTTATTTTCCTTGCACATAATTGGCTATTCATTACAAAGTGAATTTTCACCACATTTACTAAACACTAACAGGGTTGATCACAAAAGGGTGAAGAGTTTGGAGAAGGCAGGCAAGTGAAAAATCTAGGACAACGTAGCTGATTTGGAGAAATTCTTCAATTCAGCTCACTTCCCAGTTCAGCTATTTTGTCCTAGATTGTTCACTTCTCCTGCCTTCTCCAAACTCTTCACCCTTTTGTGAATAACCCTGTAAGTGAAAATGTACTTGCAAATTGAACACTCTATTTGCCTTTAGTAAAGTGACCCTGGAGTCTTTCCACCTTTACAACCAATTACTACAGATAATCAATCCCCTGGTGTAGGAACATACACAGCTGAGGCAGCCAAACATATATAATAATAAATAATATACCGAAGTGCAGAAGGAGTTCAGCTCAGCCGATCACTGCTGTTCGGCCTATTCTCATAGATGCCGAACAGCAGTGAGTGAATAGCCGAATGCCACCCAGTGGCATTCGGCTCGCCTGTTCTGCTCGGTACCTCTGTGGTACCGAGCAGAATAGAAAAACAGTTTAAAAAGTAGTAAAAAATAAAATTAAAACGATTGGGCGGTGACAGCAGTGTATTAGACTCCCAGAGCGGCCAGGAGAGTAATGACAGATGGCATTCCTGGTTACCAGGCAGCGTGTAATGACTGTCAGAAGCAGGCTGTCAGCCGGCCAATGGCCGGCTTTTTGGCCAGCTTCGGCTTTCACCGTGGCTCAGTCGAGCCGAAGCATATGCCTTTGGCTCGACTGAGCCGATCGGCCAACTTCGGGAGCTGTACGGGCTATAGTGAGTAGCCCCTACAGCAGCCCTTCGGTTCTACTGAACCGAAGGGGTCCTGGGGCCGAAGCTAGCCAAAAGATCAGCCGAAGCTACGGCTAGATCCTTCGGCAACTTAATGAATAGACCCCTTTGTTTTAACTAGATGCTTATGTTTTCTGTGTTCCAAGATCTGCATACCTGTTGTGTAGATTACAAGAATCTCACTTTGTTATATTATGGATAATGCAAATTGAGAAGTAGGAACACTTGGATGGAAACGCCCATCATTTCAAGATAGGTGGATAAAGGCAAGAAAGTGTGGCAGGGAGATTTCAGCAATGGAATTATCAACTGAAGCTAAGATTTGATTCATTTTGCCATACTCAAACTATAGCTAAAATTAATGAGTTCTTAGTAATATTTAAAAGCAGCATTAAATCAGATTGGCTTACTGTGGCCAGAAAATAAGTTCTTAGTTAGTTGTAGTCTAGACTAGAGGGCTGAGAACCAAAACTAATGAAAGCAGTCATACATTTGTCAGCTTGAAGTTATTCTCAGTCTGAGATTCTAGCTTCAGCTATTGTCATGTTTCAAGTAGCCATTAGAAGATAATGACCAAATGTGTGTGAGCAAGCATCGCTGTTATCAAATTTTAGCAGAAGCTACATGCAGTGATTAGAGTTTGCAAACATTAATCTCCTTCTCAGAAAGACTTTTTATAGATTCAGTATTACAAACAGAACTAAACACCTTCATGGCCACAGGCTGAACCCTACTGGATACTAAATATGTCATTTTTTTCCCTTTAAATTAATCTACACTGCTGCAGATTTTTCTGGCTGTCTTTTAAGCTGCTGCATATACACGAGCACTAAAATATCAAAAACATTTCATCTCCACTGAATTCCTTTGCACCTTTGCATTTTGTCTTTTATTTCTTTCCATAGAATGGAAATTGCATTAGAATCTACATGTTTTCAAATATCTATTCGTTATTTTTAGCACATTTAAACCTAAATATAGAGATCATAAGAATTTACATACTGGATGAATCTAATTTCTCCAAAGATATTTCTGGATCATTGGACAATTTTGTTATAGGTTTGCTTTGAGTGATTTTCATAATTAGAATATCCCAATGTTTATCCCAAGATTAGTGGCAATATCCAACATCTGTACTGTGATGGTACATCCATATGAAATGAAGTAGGCCCATGGTGGTGTTTTTTGCCTCCATTAGAGACTGTGAAATGTCTCCATTGCTAAATAATAGGATCACCACCTTACTAGTGGCTGTTATTGTATTGTAGAGGCCATACCCATATTGGCATTCCTATATTGCAAATATTGGAGAGTGTTTCTTACTGAGTGTGTAATATTAGATAGCCAATGGAATAGAAGAACATTTATATCTCTTGATCGTGTATATCAGTAAACCATACATAGACTTGTTCCTAGTGTTGATGGCATTTATTGAAAGACTCAACTTTTTACTCTCAAAGTCTTACCAGAATGGAACATGTACTAGTTCTCAAGTAGGATTGTGCTAAATTACACTTTATATGAGAATGATGGCACTTCTGTTTACATGCACTTTATATATCCTTGTGGTCAAAATGAGATGGGTGTCAGCAATCAAGGAACTGATGTTTACATACACTTGAT